AGATCTCGTCACTGCACTCCAGCCCGGGTGACAGGGTGACACCCTGTTTCAAACAAAAACAAAAACAAAACACGTATGTGTGATTGCATGTGTGCTAAATGATATTATTGTTTCTGGTTTGCACTTTGTCTATGAGGTTTTTTTTTTTTTTTTGAGACAGAGTCTCGTCCTGTCGCCCAGGCTGGAGTGCAGTGGCGTGATCTTGGCTCAGCGCAACCTCTGCCTCCCGGGTTCAAGCGATTCTCCTGCCTCAGCCTCCCGAGTAGCTGGGACTACAGACCGGCGCCACCATGCCCAGCTAATTTTTGTATTTTTAGTAGAGATGGGGTTTCAGCACATTGGCCAGGATGGTCTTGCTCTCTTGGCCTTGTGATCCACCCACCTCGGCCTCCCAAAGTGCTGAGATTACAGGCATGAGCCACCGGGTCTGGCCTTGTCTATGAGCTTTAAAATGAACACATACATCCTGTGCTTTAACGATTTAATTCCATGTGTGTGGGGTGATATCTATTCATTAAATGTGAAGTTTCACTGGAATCAAAAGAGCGTAAATAGCTTAATTTTTCCAGTCCACAACATTAACTCATATTGTCTTGCAAGGTACCGGGATAATAGTTCCAGCTGTTCTCTTCTTCCATGACCTCAGAAAATGAATATTTTGTTTCTTTTTCTTTTTGTTATAAAATGAGGGAAAAGGAGAAAGTTTTAAGAATTCCTTCTTCCGCCGGGCACAGTGGCTCATGCCTGTAATCCTAGCACTTTGGGAGGCTGAGGCGGGCGGATCACGAGGTCAGGAGTTCAAGACCAGCCTGGCCAACATGGTGAAACCCCGTCTCTACTAAAAATACAAAAATTAGCGGGGCATGGTAGCGTGTGCTTGTAATCCCAGCTACTTGGGAGGCTGAGGCAGGAGAATTGCTTGAACCCGTGAGGCGGAGTTTGCAGTGAGCAGAGATTGCACCATTGCACTCCAGCCTGGGCGACAGAGCAAGACTCCGTTTCAAAAAAAGAAAAAGGAAATTTTTCCTCTTTATCTTTTGCCTCCTTCTCTTCCTCCCCTTCCTTTTCCTCCTCCTCCTCCTCTTTCTTTCTTCTGCTATAAAATGCGTGACTGAACCATGCCTCTCTCATCACCTTCTACATGCCCCCTTCTCTCCCAAGAGTGATTGACGGCCGGAACCTAATGCCCCTGCTGGAAGGAAGGGCGTCCCACTCTGACCATGAGTTCCTATTCCACTACTGTGGGGTCTATCTGCACACGGTCAGGTGGCATCAGAAGGACTGTAAGTATGAAGGCCGCGGACACGTGGAAAGATGATAAGGGCCCTGTTCCTGTCTCCTTCATCTCCTGGAGGAAGTTGTACCATGTGCGGATATTGCCCAGCCATGATGGTGCTTTTTCGCTGGGAAAGCCACATACACAGTGCACTGCAGTAGGATTTTTATTTTATTTTATTTTATTTTGAGATAGGGTCTCACTCTGTCACCCAGGTGGAGTGCAGTAGTGTAATCTTGGCTCACCACAACCTCTGCCTCCCGGGTTCAAGTGATTCTCCTGCCTCAGCCTCCTGAGTAACTGGGGCTATAGGCACCCACCACCACAACCAGTTAATTTTTATTTTTTATTTTTTGAGACGGAGTCTCGCTCTGTCACCCAGGCTGGAGTGCAGTGGCCGGATCTCAGCTCACTGCAAGCTCCGTCTCCCGGGTTTACGCCATTCTCCTGCCTCAGCCT